TGCACGGCCGCCCCCCGGGCTTCTTGCACTGCGCCTCCTTCGGGGACCCCCACGTGCGCAGCTTCCACCACCACTTCCACACGTGCCGTGTCCAGGGAGCCTGGCCACTGCTGGATAATGACTTTCTTTTTGTTCAGGCCACCAGCTCCCCAGTGGCCTTGGGGGCCAACGCCACCGCCACCCGTAAGGTCTGGGCCCCATTGCGCCTCCGTGTGCTCGCAGGGCCCCGGTCGTCCCACCCCGCCTCCCACCCCTCCTTCCGCAGCAACAGTCCGGTCCCGTCCTCAGCCCCGCCCGAGTCCGGAATCGCTCGGTGCGATCCAGCACTCTCTCCCGTAAATCGCTTTCCCTTGGTGAGAATTTCATTCCAAATGCAGAACACACTGAAAGAAAGCTGGGGACCGCGGGGCTGAGCAGCCCCGGGCTGAGGAGCTACTCGGGGAGACGCTCCCTACTCCCCGTGGGGTTGTTGAGGTTGAGACAAAAAGGCAGGTGGGGGGACCGAGCAGGTGGGCGAGCAGGGCTGAGGCAACGGTGGGGCCAGGGGTGGGGCCCAGAAACCTTGGCCTCTGGGGGATGCGACCCCTGGCGCTGTGGGCGGAGCGGGGAGGTGAGTGCGCCCGAAATGAACCGTTTTCCCTCTCCCCTCACAGCTGACCATTATATTTAAGAACATGCAGGAATGCATTGACCAGAAGGTCTACCAGGCGGAGGTGGACAACCTTCCTGCGGCCTTTGAAGACGGGTCTATGAACGGAGGCGACCGGCCGGGGGGCTCGAGTTTGTCCATCCGAACCTCTAGCCCCGGGCGACACGTGGAGATCCGCGCCGCCTACATCGGCACGACCATCGTGGTCCGGCAGACAGCTGGGCAGCTCTCCTTCTCCATCAAGGTCGCAGAGGACGTGGCCAGGGCCTTCTCGGCTGAGCAGGACCTGCAGCTCTGTGTTGGGGGGTGTCCCCCAAGTCAGCAGCTCTCCCGCTCGGAGCGCAGTCGCCGGGGCGCCATGACCATCGACAGCGCGCGGCAGCTGTGCAAACAGGGGCTGCCTGTGGAAGACGCTTACTTCCACTCCTGCGTCTTCGACGTGTTAATCTCTGGAGACCCCAACTTTACTGTGCCAGCTCAGGCAGCTCTGGAGGATGCCAGAGCCTTCCTGCCAGACTTGGAAAAGCTGCATCTCTTCCCCTCAGATGGTGGGGTTCCTCTTTCTTCATCAGCCCTCCTGGCCCGGCTCCTTTCCGGGCTCTTTGTTCTGGGCTTTGCATTCGGTAGCTAGGCCAGGCACAATTTAACAGGGGGAAATGACTCCGGGGTGCAGTTTGGCCAGGGCAAGCGAAGAGAATGACTGAAGCAAATAGAGGCTGGGAGGTGCAGGAAGTGATGCCACTGACCCAGAGACAGAGGAGGCTGTAGTCCAGGGTGAGAAGGACTGGAACGTGACGATTCCCCACAAGGCTTCTGCTGTCCAAACCTCTGCAGGGGTTGGTCAGCGATGTCTCAGTCCCCTGTATAGTAAGTGACTTGTCCCAAACCACCCACTCCCGAGGTCACCTCCACAAGCTTGGAGGCTATGAGGGTCCTGGCAATCTGTAGAAAACTAAGGGTTGAGAGTTCCTAGAGGGAAGAACTTGCAGAGGAGATTGTGATAACCACCCACAAGAAATTCAACATCTAGCAATATTTTCTCTTGTAAGGGAGGAGGAAATATTGCAGGAAACAAGACTTTCATAACTCTATGTGGGTAAGATGTGTTCTGCTTTCTTGGGTCAGAATGAGGTGGGTTCTAGTTACAGGGACTCTCTGGGGGTGGAGAATGACAGGAAAGAATCCGTCATCCCCCCATCCTTAACTAATCTGTTATTAAAGCTCTGAATTCTTCACAACCCCTCTGCTGCCTAAGTGTAATCTTTTTGCAGACGCTTGATGTGATGGAAGCAAGGCACTGTGTTCCTCTACTAGGAGAGAGTTCAGAAGTTCCAGGTCATTTTCCTGCTCTAAGGAAGTTTACGAACTATTAGGGACAAAAGTTGATTCACATGAAGGAGGGACAAGTGTGTAATTATGCACTGAAGTCTATGGTTCTGTGGTTTCACATGGGAAAATGGTTGATGAGAACTAAGGAATAATAAACACAAAGAGATAACAAAGAATATGGGATTTGAACTGATCTTTGAAGACTGGGTAGGATTTGAATTATTAAGGACCCTCCAGGCAATGGAAACCCTCTATAGCTATGTGTAAATTCATGATTCATTGAGGTAACCAACAAAGCAAAGCACAAAGTAGACAAGTAATGGACTAGATGAATAGAAGCCCGATTATGAAGTATCTTGAAAGTGTGGCCAAAGAGTTTAAATTCAATTAGTAGCTAACATTTGTTGGGTGCTCAAGACCTTTCAAGCACTGTTCTAAATACTCTTAAAATATTAATTCATTTGATTATCACAACTCTCTAAGGAAAATAATATCCTAAACTTACTTTTCATAAAGAAACTAAGTGCAAAAAGATTAAAATGGGCCACCCCGGTGACACAGGAGTTAAGTCTCAGCACTATGAAGCTATAGCCAGCCACTGAGGCGCAACACAAGAATCTGAGGCCAGGGAGTGACCCCAGGGCACAGCAGACTCTTCTGTCTCCCTGCCGCTCCCCTCAACAGTGGATTTCAGTAGATCCATTGTTCTGTTCCCCACTCTTTCTCTGAATCCTCTTACCCCCCACACACCTCTACCCTGTACCCCAGTTCATATATGCATCAATCAATCTTTTTTTTTAAAGGAAGATTAAGTAACTTGCCCATAATCACACAGCTGATAAGTGGGAGAGGCCAGCTGATAAGTGGGAGAGCCAGAAACTAAAACCAGCCAGTTTGGGTCCAGAGCCTTAAACTGTTTTTATCAGTATTACATAAGTTTACTTAATAAACATGTTCAATTAGAAACCATGTACAACTAATTTTTATCTACTAGAAAACTGCTGTGGAGTGGGGACATGGTAAATGATTTCTCTGGTGAAGACTTGACTTCGTCATCAGTCTGAGGCTGCTCACGGGACAGGTTTCCTCTGCCCCATCCCAGCTCCACTTTGTTGCCACAGGGCCATGGCCACATGGCCATCTCCACTGGTTCCTTATCAGGAGGCTGACAGAGAAGGCAACTCACCAGCGGACGCCTCCCGTCAGCTGAGTCTCCCACCTTTGAATTCCAACAATAACTTCTGGTCCCCAAGTTGTTGGGCTCTGGAGGTGAGCGTGGCCTGGCTGCCTGCTCAGCTGGGCAGCTGGAGGAAGCCACCCAAGCAGCCCCAAGCCTGATCCTTGACCACTCAGAGAAGCCAGAGAAACTGAGCCGCTAAAGGTCTTGGTTGTGGAACTGGACAGGGCAAGGGAGCGCAGCCGCGACCATCAAGGCTGCTTTCTTCTGTTGCTGGGGAGAGTCCCAAATGGAAGGAAACTAGTTTACAGAACAGAAGACAGCGGAGAGACGCTGTTTCAGTCCAGGGTGCTCAAAACCAAAAGTGCTGTTCTGAATAAAACTGCCGAGGAGGTGACTTTTATTATTATTTTTATTTTTAGACGAACCAACATGTACTCTAAAGACCCTCTGACACGCAGACAGCACCCACAGAGAGAAGGACAGTGTCTCAAGGCCCCTACTGCTCCCTCGTCCACGGCCCTATAGGAGCTATAGGAGCGTGAGGGCGTTAGTGCGTTAGTGGAGGGAAGGTCAAGGCAGCCAGGCCTGAAGGGCCTTTGGTCCACACTGAGACAAGGCTTGGGGCCACAGCAGCCTCCAGGGCAGCAGAGCCAGTGAGGAGACAATGGACAGTGAGGGTGACAAGAGGTCAAGCAAGTCCTCGGTGTCCCAGACACCTCTGGGACCAGAGTCCCAGGGATTGAAAGACAGGAGTTGTTAGATCTGCCTTCTAGCCAAGTGCCTCCCTGTGACTCCAGGGAGCAGGTGGTTCTGCTCAGCGGCGGAAGGGAGGGGTCACAGACCCTTGGTGCCGTGGGTGATGCTGGCCAGGCACATTGTGACCCTCTGAGTGCCCGGGAGGGGGGTGCAGTCTGGGGGAGCCCTCTGGTACAGAAGTGCAGGTACAGTGGGCTGCAGGTGGGATTGGTGGGGTGTGAGTGCGCGCGCACGTGTGGGAGAAAAAGGACCCAGAAAGCATCCAGCACTGAAGCGCCTGGCCCTCACAGGCCTGGGCAGCGGAGGTGAGGTGACCCGTCCCCACACACACACACACACGTGGCCACGACCTCCCTGGGCCTTGGGTGCGGTCAGAGTTGGAAAGGAGCCGAGCGGGGTCAGCGGGGAAGGACTAGAGGGGCTTTCGCATCCCGCTGTCTGGGCTATGATAGCGTGCACCACTCTCATCTCCTTCCACCAGCTTCAGCCACGTGACCCTATTCCCGAAAAGCACCTGCATGAACTACCGAATACTTTCCAGAAACTGTGTCCTATCTGGACTGACATTTCAAATTTCCTTGGCAGTTCTTGTCCCCTACCCCCTCTTCCCCATCCCACTAAACGACACGCCCTCGCTGCCACCCCCTTGAAGCATGAGCTCTGTACTTTCTGAAATTCTCACTCTCTCTTTTTTATATTTTAAAAGTACAGGATTTTAGGAAAAGGAGAAAAAGAAAGCTGCCTGCATAGTCACAGGCCGGTAGAGATGTTGCCTGAAATTATCTTTAACCTAGAAAACAATCGACTTCAATGGAAGAAAATGGGGAGGAGACAGGAAATACTCAGAGCTGTCGCTTCACTCAGAGGTAACAGGCATCTTTTCCGGAAATAGTTCCTTATGTTGGTTTCCCAAACTCAAGAGAGTAACTGTCTCTCAGGTGGGGGTAAATTCAAATCAGTTAAGAATTTCACAGTTATCTGATGCGCCAGTTTCTTTCAGGGCACCTGTCAGGTAACACTTGCCTCAGACTCCAGGTTAGCCCCACTGCCAGTGGAGTATTGAAAAATGGGTCGCTGAAAATAAGCAGATAAAAAGAAGTTCAACATTATTAGTCACTAAGAAGTACCGATCAGATCAAACCCACAGTAAGGGAACACGACACACCCATGAGCAGGACTGAGCAATCCGCTTGTTGGGGGGTGCAGAGCTCTGGCAAGCTGCTGGGAATGTAATATTTAAGTTGCTTTGTAAAATGGTTTGTCGCTTTTTTTTTTTTATGTAAAGCGAATACTCATCATGCAGTCTAGACATTCCTAGGTATTGATCAGAGGCAAATGCCAGCATGTGTCTGCAGAGAGACTTGAGCGCCAATGTTCACAAAGCGTCGTCTATAACCAACCCACGGCTGGAAACAACCCAAATGCCCACCAGCACCCACTGCACAGATCTATGCACCAGGGCACCATGGCAACGAAGTGAAACAAACTGCTGTTACACACAACTTAATGAAGCAGCACATGTGAGCGAAAGAGCGAAAATAAGAAATGAGGAGAGAGTGCAGACTGCATGCTTCCACTTCTGCAGTGACAGAAACTGCAAACTACGATACAGTGACTGAGGGGTCAGTGGCTGCCTGGGGGTGGCAGAGGATGGCAGGATGGCTTACCAAGGGCCGGAGGAGACATTGGGAGCACAGGTGTGTTTGCTATGTCTTGACTGTGGCAGTGATTGCATGGGTAAGTGTATGTCAAAATCCATGAACCTGCACACTTAACGGGCGTGCGGGCGTGCTACTTATGATACAACAAGTGTTCCTCAACAAAACCTAACTTTAAAAAATAGGTAGGCTTGGCCCTCCTTGGGGGCGCAGCGGGTTAAAGCACTGCACTAAGAAGCTTAAGCCACTTCCGCATGAGTCCAATCCCCCCCGCCCCCGAGGAGATCCACATGACGTGGCAGACCTCTCCTGACCCGCCCGCTGCTCCCCTCAGCAGTGTACTTTGTCAATCTGCCTGTTCTGCTCCCAGCTCTGTCTCTGGTGCATCCTCTCACCCTCCGCATCTCTGGCCTGTACCCCAGTTCTGTATGAATGAATAAATAAATCTTTTTTTAAAAATAGGTAGTCTTTATGCTTTAATTACAATAGGAAAGACATGGAGTCAACCCAAATGCCCAAAAGTAGATGACTGGATTGAGAAGAGGTGGTCCATACACACAATGGAATATTAGGCAGGCAGCAACTCAGCCTTTTACAGCATGGATGGATGAGCTGGAAGGGGTCCGACTCAGTGAAATGAGCCAGAAAGAAAAGGAAAAACACCAAGTGGTTTCACTCATAGCAGGAGCATAAAGGACCAGGGGGAAAAATAATAATAATAAACAACTATATACGAGGGGTGGAGTGGGGAATGGGATCAAAAAGGGGGCGGAGAGGGGAAGTGCCTGGACTATGGTGACGGCACAGAGGTGATTTGGTGATGGGAAGCGCACGGGGATGACCACTGAGATGGGAAAAGGTACAACGTGATGTAAAAATAAACTATTATAATAAAAAAAGTTAGTTTTGAAGAGTGAGTTTTATCCTTCTTTTAAGTGTATTCCTAAATATTTGCTTTGCTAAAATTATAAATGGCATTTTCAGAAAAAATATAAGTAGCATTTTCCTCTTCCTTTGGTGAATCAGATAAAGCTTAGAACAACTTTAGCGTGAAAATGAAAATGAGGACAGACTTGACTTATGGGAACCCATAGAAAGAACAAGAAAGGGGCAAAGGAAGAAGTTATCCCGCCTTGCCACTCCACCAGCGGTCAGCAGGTGGCGATGGTGGCTTCATAGCATTAATGGGGGTGAGTAAAAGAAAATTCTTAGGCAATCAGCTACGTCACCATTTGAGAGAGAATATTAATAAACATTTGACAGAGTTGGCATTTCAGAAATAAGTTGAAGACAGATGCATCGTAAACTAAGTAGTTTGAATAATTTATTATCACTTCACGACAAAGTGTTGTTCGCTCTCATGAAACAACAAAATATATT